CGCCTCGCTGGAGGCTTCTCTCCACCAGTAACACCCAGGACCCCCCTCCCACCCTCTTGCTCCCCGGGATTTCGGCAGCGGCCTCTGATTCACCAGCCGAGTGAACCCCAGGCCGGCGGGAGGAATGGGAGCTTGTTCTGACCCCGATGCACGACGGGGGTGGTGGTGGGACAGGGGGTGAGTACAGAAAGCCCCTTACCCACCACTGTCCTTCTCCTCTCCCCGACCCCCCGCTTCGCTCTAAGTACTTCGGTCTAAGTACCCCCCGCTTCGCTCCACGCGGGGAGGTGGAATCGCCCCTCCGGGACAGGGCCGCCAAGCTTCGCTTAAATGTATGGGGAACGCACCAGTTTAGGTGCATATGTACCTATAAGCAGTGTGTGCGCTGTGTATTTCTTCGTGTATCTATACCTATCCTGAGTTTTCGGTATTTGTGTTTTGCCTGGTATTATTTATGGGCAGAGAAGCTATACCTTGCGTTTATGCAGGTTTCTTTATATATGTGTGTGTGTATATATAAAATGAGTGCTTCAGATTTAAAAGGCACTCTCTCTTCCTCCCTGTTTTCCCTCCTCATCCCCAGCCCCGGGTTTTGATTCACCCTCTTGCTCACAAGCACTGGTCGGATTTGCCCTTGGTGGTTCCCGCAGACCCACGCGTTGCTCTCGCCGTCTGCTTGCCGCAACTTCCCCTCTCGCTTGTTTACCGTGTTTTTCCAACAGCTCACCGCCACCTGACCTTGCTCTTCAAAGTGAGCAGGCCAGGAGCAGTCACAGGACCGGAGCAACCATCTCCTTCCCTCCCTAAGATACACACACATATACACACCCCCGCACAAAGAGAGCTGGGGCTGGAAAGTGGCAAGGAAACAAACAGCTTCCCCTCCAGCCGCTTCTTCTGCAGCACCTCGTTTGACAAATACCCTGGCGCTTGCCCTTGAATTGGGTTTCACCTCCCTATTTAGCACTTGGACAATGATTTTAGATGATGTCACTTAAAGCCAAACAAGAAAATTGATCTCGGATTTGCCTGGCCTCTAAAGCCTGGTTAAGCAGATTGCAAATAATAATAATAATAAAAAAAAAAAAAAAAAAAGGGAAAGAGAGAGAGAGAGAGAGGGAGGCAGAAGGGAGAAAGGCAAGGAGGGAGAGACGCCTCCTTCCCTGGGCGGGGGAGGCGCGGGCGCCAATGAAAAGTAGCCGCTTACTGGAGGGGGGGGGAAACTTTTCCTGTTGACTGTTGGAAGCGAATTGAGCAATTATCTAGTTTACCTTCTCCTCTTGGAAGTTAACGATTGGCGAGATCTTGGCTGCGTTATTGACACAACACTTTCTATTGATAGAAATAAGTAGCGATTGTCCCGAGTCATTGGTGCGCCAAAGTAAACTGTGATGGGCTGGCATGAGTCCACTGGACTGAGAAGGCTGGTTCCGCCGGCGGAGGCTGTGGTGATGGTGGCGGTGGCGATGCTGGTCTCCCTCCTTGCAGATCAGTGACAAGAAAAGGGGCAGAGAGAGTGAAAGAGCGAGAGAGAGGGGAGAGGAGGAAAGAAAGAAAAGAAAAAAAAAAAAAAAAAAGCGGCTAAAACCGGGCGAACAAATGCAACCCAGCCATGGACAATAGTGGCCACCACACGGCGACCAAAATCCTAGCGACTCCTCCGGCCAGAGAAAGCCTGTCTGCCAGGAGCAACATGATCAGCACGCCCAAGCCCCTCGCCTTCTCCATTGAGCGCATCATGGCGCGGACGCCAGAGCCCCGCTCCATCCCCGTCCCGCAGCTCCTCCACGGCTCCGTGGCCAAAGGCGACCCCAAGCACCCGCTGCACCTCAACTCCTCCATCCCCTGCATGATCCCCTTTGTCCCGGTGGCGTACGACCCCCTGCCCAAAGCGGCGGTGGCCGGAGCGGAACCCAGGAAGGCTCATTTAGACTCCTCTTCCTCGCCCTCCTTTAGCTGCGGCGATCTCTTGAACTGTGCCCTGAGCTTGAAAGGAGATTTCCCCCGCGATGCCCTGCCCTTGCAGCAGTACAAACTGGTAAGACCCCGAGTGGTCAATCACTCCTCCTTCCACGCCATGGGAGCCCTGTGCTATTTCAACCGAGGCGACAGCCCTTGTCACCCGTCCTCCAGTGTCAACATCCACCCGGTGGCTTCTTATTTCCTCAGCTCTCCCCTGCACCCGCAGCCCAAGGCTTATCTGGCGGAGAGGAACAAGCTGGTGCTGCCGGCGGTGGAGAAGTACCCGGCGGGGGTCGCCTTCAAGGACTTGTCGCAGGCTCAGCTGCAGCACTACATGAAAGAAAGTGCTCAGATCCTCTCGGAAAAAATCGCCTACAAGACCTCGGAGTTCAGCCGCGGCTCCCCGAGCAGCAAGCCCAAAGTTTTCACCTGTGAAGTTTGTGGAAAGGCAAGTAGAGCGGCAGCCCGCCTCCCTTCCCCCTGCTTCCCCAGCCTCCTACCCCCGTCCGTCCGTCCGTCCTTCCGCCGGGTTGTCGGTCGCTTGCGTGCTTGATTTTTAAACGACGGCGTCCCCTCGGCGCTCTCGCCTTCTAACCGCAATTTTTACCGTTGTTTTTTTTTTTTTAATTATTTTTGTCTGATTTCACTCTCAAGGTATTTAATGCACATTATAACTTAACTCGCCATATGCCGGTGCACACGGGAGCCAGACCCTTTGTTTGCAAAGTTTGCGGGAAGGGCTTCAGACAGGCGAGCACGCTTTGCCGGCACAAGATCATCCACACGCAGGTGAGCATCCATCCATCCATCCATCCATCCTTCCCTCCCTCCTTCCCATCCCGAGACCCCTCCGCTCTGGCTTTTTGGGGGAGCCCGGCGTTGCGCGGCGGCTCCGAGGCAGCGGGGCGGTGCGGGGGGCGACTGAGCCGGAGCCGCGGCCGCGGGGAGAATTTCGCTTGCCCCAAGAGCGGTGGGGTACGGCGGCGTGCCCCGCTCCCAGCCATGGCGAGCAGTCAGCTTACAGCCAAACCCCGCAAACCCACCACACAAACCCCGCACACACCCCCCGCAACTCCCCAAGCCGTGTCTTGGCGTTTGTTTCCCACCAGGAAAAGCCACACAAGTGCAACCAGTGCGGCAAAGCCTTTAACCGGAGCTCGACCCTGAACACACACACGCGAATACACGCCGGCTACAAACCTTTTGTCTGTGAATTTTGTGGCAAAGGATTTCACCAGAAAGGTACCAGTCCCCAGCGCCCTCTCCCTTGCCCGCTCCCCCCTCTTTCCGCCCTCCAGGCGAGGTCAAGCGTCGGGACAATTTGCGACGGGGAGGGTGGAGGAAAGAGTTGGCTTTGGTTTTAATTTTTGTTATTAGAGATTTTGGTTAATTTTAAGCATCCCTAGCCCCGACGCATTTCCTTTGGCACGGCCCACAGAGTGGGACGCGGCTCGCGTTTTGGGGGGAGCGCAGGGGCAGCTCTTCCCGCGGGCTGCGCCCGTTTTCCGCGCACTGCTGCGCGCAGTTTCCCGCGCAGCTTCGGCAAACGAGTTCGCCGCCTTTTTTCCCCTCCGAGAGCAGGACTTCGGTTGTTTTTTCTCCCCACGCTGCCGCGAAGGCTAAAACCAGGGCTTTTATTTCTGCAACGGGTGCGATTTTGGTTTATTCGATAATTCCCTTCTCGTCTGTCAGAGCCGCGGGAAGGATGGGGAGAAGGCGGGTGTTTGCTGAGAGATCGGCGGTCCTTTTCGGCTGAAGCGCTGCTCTGGGGATGGGACAGCGTTTGGAGATTTTTGTGGGTTGTTGGGGTTTTTTTGGTTTTTTTTTTTCTCCTCTTTTCAGCGTCCAGTTCTCAGCCCCAGGTCCCTTCGCCCTTCTTGTCTCGTTCCCAGGCAATTACAAAAACCACAAGCTGACCCACAGCGGGGAGAAGCAGTTCAAGTGCAATATCTGCAACAAGGCTTTCCACCAGGTGTACAACCTGACCTTCCACATGCACACCCACAACGACAAGAAGCCCTTCACCTGCCCCACCTGCGGCAAAGGCTTCTGCAGGAACTTTGACCTCAAGAAACACGTCCGCAAACTGCACGACAGCGCCCTGGGACTGCCCCGGC